CGTAGAAATGGTGCTCCGGGAGCTTTCAATGACGAATGGGGGGCAAGTGGTAGATCACAAGCCCCTTCTTAGGAGGCACCCCTTACTAGACAAAACCTCCAAGCCAGCAGCATCACCCAAAGCCACCTCCCCGCTGTCCCGCGCACCTGTTAAACACCTGTGAATCATGGTGGTGTCGTGGGTTAAGTGTCAGACCGCCAACTTCCAAGTTAGCAGTGGTTCCGAGGGAGGAAGATGATGCCATCCGCTCCCAGAAAGAGCGAGTCTGGGACACAGGAAGGAGCTGTTCTATTCCATCAGAATCAGCTCCGTGGCGACGTTTTTGTTGCTGTAAAGCATCTTACTTTCTGTAAGATATTTCATTCCTGTCTCACGACATCACGATGCAGGGGGCCCTCTTCGTATTCCCTCACTGCCATCCGATCATTCCAACTCATAGCGACCCTGAAGACAGCGTGCAACTGCCCCTATGGGTTTCAGAGACTCTAAATCTTCAAGGAGCAGAATGCCCAATCTTTCTCCAGTGGAGCAGCTGGTGGTTTCGAACTGCGGACCTCGTTTTTTAGCAGCCCAACTAGTAACCCACTACGTCACCGGAGCTCCTACTGTTCTCATTATTGGCATTATATGACTGCCACTGGATCATTAAGCTATGCCGTAGCTTGGCAATCTAATAAGCCAGCTGACAAACAGTTAATGAGCCAGTGTTGGAACTCAGTCAAGGAACTCTCCAATGTTTGCACTCCCACAGGAATTTCCTTTCTGGCTTTGACTCTGTATTAAAGTATATTCCCATAAATGTATTCATTCATATATTTGACAATATCTAGTGAGTTCCTAGGAGACACTAGTGGTTACGTGTTGGGCCGCTAACCGAAAGGTCAGCAGTTCAAAACCACCTGTGGCTCGGCAGGAGAAAGGTGGAGCTTTCTACTCCAATAAAGAGTTACAGTCTCAGAAACTCACAGGAACAGTCTATCCTATCCTATAGGGTCTGGCATCGACTCAATGGCAGTGGGTTTGTGAGTGAGTAAGCTCTTGATACATTGGTGCCGGATTATTTTTACAAGTTTAGGGGAGGACACATTTTCTACCTTTTTTCATGGTAAATATGCATGTAACCAAAACAATCTGACATGTCAATATTCTTCATGTGTCCAATTCGGTGATATGAATCATGTCCATCGTGTTGTTCAGCCATCAATCACCATTATCCATTTCCACATTTGTTCAGTACCCCGAACAGAAGTGAAATGTCCCTTAAGCAATGAGTTTCCCCCTTTCCCCTTCCTCCTCCCCCATTCATGGTGTCACCACTAATAAACTTTGGGGTCCATCTATAATTGCCTATTCGTCACATGTCACATAAGTGGGATCATACAAAACTTGTCCTTTTGTGACTGACGCATTTCACTCAGCAAAATGTTTTCAAAGTTCATCCATGGTGGGGTTCATGTCTTGTTTCCTAAACATGCTGAGGGGCCTCCTTCTCCAGGCAAGGCTTGCCCTTCCTCCCCAGCAAGCCAGAATGTTTCTCAAGCTGTGCCTTGTTGATGTGAAGCCTTATGAGGCGTCTCCTTATTGCCAGGCGTCGGAAGGGAAGGACATACCCAGGGCCATCAGGAAGCATTGAGCAGAGGAAGAGCAACTTGACAGAAAGTTAGAACTGATGTCCCTCCCAGCCGCTGTCTGACCTTGAGAAGTCAATTTATTTCTCAACAAAGGCTTTCGTCTAAGCAAAGGCAAGCATAGTCCCCGCCCACCCCACCCCCTAGTTTGGTGGTGCAGACCATTAGATGTAAAAGTGAGAGTCACATGAGCGCTAACCATAAGGGAAGGTGGGCATATTAGATCCCACCATTCAAAGACCCTTTGGCCCTTCACATAGTCTCATGTTGGATTAGGCACAGGAAGTCACGAGATTGTACTTTCCCTATACTATGACCCACACTGTTTCTAAGGTGCCCTGCTGGGGCAATGGCTAAGCATGCGGCTGGTGATTGGAAGCCACACGTACCTCTGCAGGAGCGAACACCTGGCATTGCGCTCTCAGAAAGATGCCGGCTTGGGACACCCTCGTCTCTGTCCGGGATTCCTCAGAGTGGGAATCTACTCAACGACACATTTTCCTACCATTTAAACTGTGCAATCCGTCATTCAATGTGAAATATGTCATGATATACACACAGACAGAGAGAGAGAGAGAATGGGCAGAACTGGCTGGGCATAGGCAAACTGTTTAGAGTAAGGAAGACTGAAGGAGTGACTGCGGCCTGGATCTACACAGGGGTCAGAGAGGCCAAGGGACCATGAACAATGAAAACAGAAAGGGAGGAGGTGCAGATAAAACTGGGAAAAATCAGGAAAACAAAGATGGAGAGAGAAAAGAAACACAAAATGGGTAGAATGTACATCAGCAGGGGGGGGGGGGGCGGTGTCAAGGCCATGGCCAATTCTAACTCATGGTGGCTCCACATGTTCCACAGTAAGTGGGATTTTTCCTGTGTTTACATTTTATTGTGAATTAGGTGGGGGTGGTAGATGTCATCTCCTCGTGTTTACTTTCAACAACTTATCAAACCTCCCCGGTCCACAGGCTCTTCTTGGCTGTGATCTTACAAAACCAGATCACCGGGCCACTGGGTGGGCTCACACCCCGGGCCTCAGAGGAGTGGAACGCAATGATTGTAAAGGGGGGTGTCTTCAGGAAAAGTAGGACAGACAGAGGAGGGGAACCAGGAAGAGAAGCATGTGTTTAAGGGCGAGTGGTGACGTGTTCAGACTATGCAGAGTCTCCTAGGCCAGTGCTCCCCAAATGTGCAGAGCAACCTCTTGGGGGTGACTGGGAAAAGGCAGGTTTTCCTTCGGCAGGCCGACTTTCCTAGCAAGCAGTTGCATAGCAAGGCCCGTAACACTTCCAGGGGACTCAGAGGGCATGACTGAAAGGTGGACAGAGCTGCTTAATGGAGTCAGTTCCACGTTCCTCACGGAGGCCTCCCTCTTCCGGATATCCCATCGATCTGACCGGCATCTTGACCTCCCCCTCTCCCCCCTTCCTCCCAGGGTGGCCAAGCTAAAGAACACAGCTGTAAAGCCATCCTTGCATCCTTGCCCTGCTCTCTTTCTGCACATCAGTATGAGCAGTATACACGGTCATCACCGCTCCTGTGGTGGGCGCCTAGGCCAACTCTGAGCAGCCCTGTAGGACATCGTAGAACTGCCCTGTGGGGTCCCCTGTGCTCTCGCCTTCATGGGAGCAGACTGCCATGCCTTTTCTCCTGAGAGGCTGCTGAGCAGCTTAAAAAATGACCAACCTTGTGGTTGGCAATCACTTAACCATTGCACCACCGGAGCTCCTTTGTATAACCTCTCAAAACTCAAACCCACTGCCATCAAGTGGATTCCAACTCATAGTGACCCGCTAGAACCCGGTAGAACTGCCCCATGGGTGTCCAAGACCAGAACTCTTTACTGGAATACTAAGCTTCATCTGTCGCCCTTGGAGATCCTGGTGGGTTTGAACTGCAGACCCTGGGGTTAGCAGCCCATGGAGCCTACACCAGCAGGGCTGTATGAGAACATCTAAGCGCCATTTAACAGTAGCCTTATCATCTCAGCTCCACCCCAGCTGTACAAGAAGTTAGCATTACTCACTAGAGCAGCGGTTCTCAACCTGTGGGTCACAACCCTTTTGGGGGTCAAAAGACCCTTTCACAGGGGTTGCCCGATTCATAACAGTAGCAAAATGACAGTTATGAAATAGCAACAAAAATAATTTTATGGTTGTAGGGGTCACCACCACATGAGGAACTGTATTAAAGGGTCTGGGCATTAGGAAGGTTGAGAACCCCTGCACTAAAGCAATTATCAAAAGACAAAGGTTATATTTAATCTACATTCTCTGAGGCGCAGGTCCTGGGCAAGCCAGACCATTAAACCCAAGAATAAAGAGGAATTAAACGAGTTGAACATGAAAGTTAAAATACCCTTAAATGGCACCATCTTTCCAACATTCACCTAACACTTTGGGGCGAGGGCGAATTTGGAACTGATCGTGTGACAATTAGCTCCTGCTCTGACTCTTCGGCTCCCTGGCTTCTCTCAGTGTACGCCACAGCCTCCCTGCTCTTCAAACAGAGCCCTCTTTGCCCCCGCAACAACAAAACAACTCCCCTGCTTTGTCTTCGAAGAAAAAACAATCACATATTAAAAAAAAGTTCCATTGTAAAACAGTGTTGATTTTCTCCAGAGACCAGGATAACTTGATCCATCTTGGGGGCAAATACATTGTAAATTTTAGAAGCTGTCACAAGTTTCTCTTGTTTATGCAATTAGGCCCAGAATCTGAAATAGAACTCAAGCACTGCCCACTTTAAAAGCGGAACTCAAAAGCTGGCCCTAGGTAGATGCCTCAATCTTCTCCCACACGCACACATGAGTCAAACAGCCTCCCTGGGCCACAATCCTCAAAGCCCATCCTCTCACATGCCAACTGGGGACTCACTGGGGACGACAATGAGTATGACGGGTCCCTTCATGAGGCCATCCCCTCCCTGAAGCCACTGTCAAAAATGCAACGTTCTTTCTCCAGACAAGTTAGGCCCCCTCTTTCTACTCCACATTTCTGTTCATGCTTGCATCAACCTTCAAACAAACACCTAGTCTGGGACACTTGAAGGCCTATTCATCCCCACAGCAGGCGTCTCTGGCGTAGAGCATGGGCCTCATTGAAAGGATGAATTCTGTGTACCACTCTCATGTTCAGGGTCGCCATTCTTTGCTTTTAAAGA